GGGGGGGGGGGGGGGGGGTAGAATCTCGTGTAGGGAATGAGGTTGGTGTGACTGATTTTTTGTGTTGGGACCGTGAGGTAGGGGCTTGATTTATTTATTGATTTCCGATTTATAATTGAACCATTGAATTTTTCGAATTCGGGAACTGAAAGAGATTTGAAGATCCGTTGACCGATGGAAAAAAAAAAGAAAGATCCGTTGACCGATGGAAAAAAAAGAAAGATCCGTTGACCGATGGAACGGTTAGTCGAAGTATTGAATGAATACAAAGTATGAATGGTTGATGGGTCAATCCAAAGAACAGGCCGCTTTGATCGATCGATGGCCTGGTTGCACCGTTTTTGAATCAGTTGACAACGGACTGATTGATTGATTGATTGCTTGATTGATTGATTGATTAATTAATTGATTGATTGATCGATTGGTTGATTGATTGGTTTGAAGATCTGCAGACTGGTCTCGTGCGGTATATGAATCAACATATGATGGATGAATCGTTGATCAACCGATAAATTGGCCGTTCAATCGATTCGAAAATGACGGCCTTTGACACATTTTCCTTAAAACGGTTCGACCGGTCCGTATGTCTCTACCAATATATCTTACACATGCCGGTACGCGATTCATTATTAGCAAATTTGCACATTCTGTCTGTCGCCCGCTTCCATCATGTTAGGTCTCGTATCAACGAACAAGTCGATCAACAAAAAAAAAAAGAAAGAAGAAGAAGAAGAAGAAGAAGATCACGTCCCCGAGTACCAGCCGTGGTCTTCCTCCCTGAACAGAAATCCGCGTGAAAACTATTAGTGCGTTCTGACGTATGAGAATATGCCATCTTTTTCTTCTGACAGAAAAAGGTACCTAGTCTAAGCACCCCCAAAGAAAAGTACCCGGTCACGAATTTGCTCTCAGGTCCTCTGCCTAACCGGTCGCTCACTCGCCCACTCCCTCAATCAACGACTCAATCAGTCCATCGATCAATCGACCAGCTAATCCGATCATTCACCCAGCAGGGTATTCATCCATCCGTCAATCCATCAATTAGTTCATCCATTACTGATCAATTGATCGATGCCATCAGTCAATCAGTCAGCCCGCGAGCTACCAGAACATTGGCTTCCGCAATCCACCGTTCCCTCCCTCCCTCCCTCCCTCCCCCCATCCATCCATCCATTCAAACACGTCAATGACCAATGTCAGTTAATCCACCAAATCCAACCAATCAATTGAACAACTTGCGACAGAGAACAAAGGTGAGAGCCGTCAGAGAAGGGAAGGCGGAGAGGGGAAAAGGGGTTGGCGGGGTTTGGTCGCGGTTCGTTGTTGTTCAACGACTTGCGACAGAGGACAAAGGAGAGGGAGAGATTACAAGTGGACAGCGGCAAGGCGTCGGGAAGAAGCAGTGTGGGGGACGATGGGCGGGGAGTAGTAACCACCTTCGCCCAGATGGCTGATATGGAGTAAACAAGGTAGCGATCGGAAGAGAGAGAGAGAGAGAGGGAGAGAGAGAGGAATACACAGATACCAAAGGATAGATAACCGAGGCGCCCAACTCAGCGAAGTTAGTGACTGAAGCAGGCGTCCAAGTGGGCTGACGACTCCGCAAGGCCAGACAGTGGAGAGCGGAGGCCAGTGAGGGATGATGGGGGACACATGCACGCTGAGATTGCACGAACGCCCACGTCGGAGATCTCGATTGCAGGAGGCTCTCTACAACTCTCCCACACCATCTCAAGCAGGCAGGGCTTTCAAAACAAAAACTGATTTGGAAATTAATCGCTGGAGTACAAGGATTCGAACCTTTGCAGGGCATGCATGTCGGTATCAAAAACCGATGCCTGACGCGAAGCGACTGAGGAGCACAGGGGAAGGGAAGGGGATCGCGAGAGAGAGAAGAAGAAGAAGAAGATCAAGACAGAGGGAAACACGAGGGTAGGGCAGAAGGGAGGGAGGAATGCCCGCGGAAGGTAAGGAGGAGCGACCGAAAAAGAAAAAAAAAAGAGGAAGGAAGGGGTTAAGATGGTACGGAAATGGAGAAAGGGAGAGATGGAAAGTGAAATTGAAGGAGAGGAGGGGGGGGGGGGGGGGGGGGGGGGGGGGGGGGGGGGGGGGGGTACTAGCAGGCGCGGATGGAGAATAATTGCACGGTGGTAGCAGAGGGGTGGACAAGTGAATAACGAGGGAGGCGAAGGGAAAAAGTGAAGCGGGAACAGATGCTTGGGCCCTAAGATTGCAATGACAAACGGGACAGAACACGCCCGCTGGCCCGTCCTCATTAGGGTGAACCTCGTTCTGTCCCTGTCACGAAAAAAAGAACGGGGACGAGAGAGAGGAAACAGAAGATCGTCAAAGGGTTAGGCACTCGCTTTGGCTAGTCCACAACCCCACCCCCCCCTTTTCCCGCCTCCGTGGAAATATTTGACACCATTTGTCGCTGCAAGGGGGAGAGTGTGTTTGTACGTGGAAAAACAAGACAGCAGAGGCGATTGGTTAAGGACTAGTCCATAAGGGGAACCAATAGACAGAAATAGATAGATAGATAGATAGATAGATAGATAGATAAGATAGATTGGGGGAGAGAGAGAGAGAGGTAGATAGGGATTACAACGTTCTACTTACATGGCATTTACCACCGATCGCCACTTCGGTTAAGTTAACCGCTACGTGCCGGATGGCTCCAGCCAAGTTAAATTGAATGCAAATCGACGGGCGCAGCGTTGCCTGGGACTTACGGCCGCCATTCGCGGCCAACCTGTTCATTTTTTGCTGATCACGCTAAGCAGGCCATATAGATGATAGGTCGATAGATATAGATAGATAGATAGATAGATAGATGGAAGGTAGATAATAGATAAATGGGTAGGTAGATAGGTCGATAGATGATAGATTGGTCGATAGATAGATAGATAGATAGGTAGATAGATCGATAGAGTCAATAGTCTAGCTACACGTGGGTTGATGAGATTGACTCCGGACAATTAAGAGAAGAGTCAGAAGGAGCCAAGCGACGCTGACAAAGAGCTTCCCGAGCCCACAAACAAGGATAACGTTTTGAGGGGCGAGCTGTCCTAAGTCATGAAATCTTTTCTTTTCTTGGTGGTGATTCTGATCTTCGTGCTATGGATGTTGGTTCGTGTTTTATGGCATAGACAAATACATATGTAGACCGACAAGTAGATAGGTAGATAAGATAGATAAGTAGATAGGTAGATACACAGGTGGATGGAAACAAACGGGAACAGAGGCGCGGAGAAACATATCTGCCCCTCAAACGAGTTCCCTCTTTGATTTGCGCAACTGCATATCTCCTGATTGCATTTGGTCACGAAGACCACCTCCACTAACTTCCGCCTTTCTCCCCCCC